TCTACCCTTGCACGCTCTGGATCGCAGTCAAGATTCGTGCGTCGAATTTCTTCTCTTCGTTCACGAACAATCGTTTTCCACGAACCGCGACGTACTACGTGCTACACGTACACGTACACGTACATACGTACGTGCGTAGGTACGCGTCGGTGTCGCGTGTTTGTTTTCTTCTCATCTCGTGCATCCTTGGATTCGTTCGTCAAAGTGCTGCCCTGCTCCCGCTCCGAGTGTGCCGCTCGTGTCCATCATGGTGAGTAAACAATATCCACGTTGACCTAAATCCGACTACACCGTCGATAATTAACCGCCGATGCGATTGATTAACAATCGAAACGGATGAACATGCGTGTTCAGTGTTTCGATTCGAGATTTGGGCGCGCGGCGAGAAGAGGAGGACATTTGAATTTTCCAGTCAGAAACGCGAATACACGATCGTTATTCAAAGTTTTTAAGAGGCCGGCGGCTCGCCGGATGTCGACTCTTAGAAATCCCAGGTACCGCGGTCTGTCAGCGCGGCTAGAAAAAGGTGGGAGAGTTTCGGAGAACGCGGCAAGCTGTTCGTATTCACGACGAATCTGTCGTTGCTCCTTCTTGGAGGAGGCAGCACAATGGCCGCCTAGAATAGGTGTAATCATGCGTGCGCGTACTATCTCGAATCACCGATCTTTCTCTCTCTCTCTCTCTCTCTCTTACGATCGATAAATTTCTCCGTCGCGCGATGAAAGAGAAAATATTTGAAAATTTCTGTCGATACGTGCGTCCGATTTCAATCAACATTAAATCAACTGCCATTTAGCCAGAACTTTCAGTCGCGTCGTTGTATTCTTCCGACAGGTCGGCCGCTATTTCGACAGATGCCAGATTTGTTTCAAGAACGTAAGAAACTTTTGCCAGCCAGAGAACGGCGGAACACGTTTTCGTTGAATTCCTAACGCGTTGCTCTATATCGCTCGGTATCGTTCCACCGTTGCTCTTTCCGTCTCTCCTTTGTTTCCTTGCCCGATACCTTTGTACTTCGAACACCGTGAACGCGCGCTACTAGGTCCATTTCTCCGTTCTCTCTCTCTCTCTCTCTCTCT